GATCAATGTTTGATCCTAGATATGAGAATTCTTTAACTATTTCAATTTAGTATATTTTCCCACCCTCCCTTCCTCTTTCTCATCCTTTTGTTGTTTGTTGTGTGCTCTCAAGTAATTTCTGAATTACGGAGACCCTAAGGTGACCTTTTACAGGGTTTTGTAAGCAAGAGCAGGTTTGCCATTGCTTTTCTCTGAGGCTGAGAGAGTGTGTCTTGCCCAAGGTCACCCAGGGGGAGACTGGTCTCTCAGATTCCTAGTCCAACACTCAAACTGCTATACTATGCTGGCTCATCCCCATCTCCCTGCCTTCTAGCCTTTAGAGCTCCCAAATAATTTCAGCCCCCAAACTGTCCCTTATATAGTGTGTGCATAAATCTGGTACTGCTGATGTATACAGGAGAGTTACAAGTGGGACTTGCAGCAATGGGCCGAACTGTGTTGTGCTCCTTGTCAAGGATTCCAGTTGCCTGATTCCATTTTCCCCCTCTGCCCATCACCAGTCGTCCAGCTTTAGCTCCAATAGTAGCTGGCATTCTGCAACCACTGGGTATGTTGAGTTGGCAGCAATCTGTGCCCATAGATCATTTCAGTCTTTATTAGGCTTTTGGGAGATGTGGGGATGGACGTTAACTTTGGATACATAAATGATCACTTGATCAATCCATCAATCAGTTTATTGATTGATCAACCATAGTTGTACAATCCTTGGCAGCTACATGAGCTTACCAGTACCTCTTTCTTTTGTACTGATGCTATTGCTATGTCTACATGTGAATCTGAAATTGTTATTATCGTATAGGATCTCTAGAGAAAGGTAGTGAAAGAAATGTTGAAGGGAACTAGTGGTACAATTACTTTTTAGTTTCACAATGTAACACAGTGCTTTAAGAACCTAGGCAGGGGAAAATAGAAAATATCTTACTACTTTTCTGATTTCTCCAATGGGGGGAAAGCAAACGTCCAATTAAGGCTGGAATCCTATATATGGGAGAGGGAGGATATTTGCTCCCAGTGCACTCAGGACAATGCACAAGTAAAGATACTAAGGACTGCACTGTTGTTTGATGTATGGTAGTCTCTTAATAGTTTGCAGCAATTTGGCATATATGTGAGTTTCATACTTTTGCTCACTAACAGCCTGCTCCGAAAAGTGCTTTTTGAAAGTCCCCCTGGTTTCAATGGGGTTTCCTTCAGAGCAAGTCATAGTTCCAAAAGTGGAATTTCCCAGCCTATAGGAATTTTTTAAAGAAAGACTCATAGAAATGGAAGGAACCCCAAGGCCTATCTAGGCTTTTGCAATAAAGTCTTTTGATAAGTTCTGAAAAAGAAGTTAGGGCAAAATCCTCCAATAGCTGCACTAACTGGCAGCAGGACAGTGAATCTGCCCCATGTTACTCTGAATTATAAAGGAGCATATCCAAGGTTGGGTGCCGCATGATGGGGTGAGCTCCTGTCACTAGTCCCAGCTTCTGCCAACCTAGCAGTTTGAAAGCATGCAAATGCAAGCAGATAAATAAGTATCACTTCTCAGTGGGAAGCTAAACAGTGTTCTGTGCAGTCATTGCTGGCCATATGATCACAGAGTAGTCTCTAATAATGCTTGCTCTTCAGCTTAATAACGGAGATGAGCACTGTTCCCTATAGTTGGACATGACTTGTCAACCTTGTCAATGGGGAATAACTGTACCTTTTTAAAATCCAAGGTGCTTGAACCTATTTCCAGGATAGGGTCCAGCAGTTTGGCTACCTGCTTTGAAACTCAGGTTTAAATCTGAAGTGGATTCACCACCACACTGACATGGGAAGCCACCTGTTGTCAGTGGGTGCACTGTGCTACAACAACCCCCCCCCCCCCATAATCCAGTATTGAAGCAAGCAAAGCCCATGTGTAATTGGGCTCCCAGACAGTACATAGTTCTTGCAGATCTTGTTGAGACTGTTACAGCTGATCAGAGAAGCCACAATAACTCCAGTTCAGATGTTGTAAATCCAGCATGCCCAGGCTATGGAGAAACAGAGTACTGACTATTCACCTATGATTGGTCTGAGAAACATTCACAAAAAATGGAATGGTCCATCCTTGCATGACTCCCAGATATAGCTGGGCTGGCCTGAGCCTGGCTATCTGCACCGGCTCCGGAGCGAGTGACAGTGGCAGGGATGCCTAAATACATTGCAACTTTCTGTGGCCCGCAATCACAACCAGCAACAGAGCTGGCCCTATCAGAGTGAGGCAACTAGAATATGCTAGAGAGCAGAAAATGTTGAAGGAGGAGACTGTGTGTGCTGAGTGGCCTGCCTGCTATTTCTCTAGTGCAAGAGAAGATGCTGCCCATTGCCAGTACTGCCATTTTGGTCCTCTGTATTGAAATAAGAGAAGCCATGGAAGAGAGGTGGGGTCTAAATCTAATGGTGCATCTACACTGTAGAAATAATGCAATTTCACACCACTTTAACTGCTAGGGGATTTGTAGTTTTGTGAGGTACCAGCAGTCTTTGGCAAAGAAGGCCTTGTAAAACAACAAAACCCAGGCTACCATAGCATGGAGCTACAGCACTTAAAGAGGTGTCAAGCAGCATTATTTCTACAGTGTAGATGCACTCTAAATGTAATTATTTAATGAGCACCATGGTATCTTATGCTTCAAGGAGATGAATGTGGTGGTCCATCCCTACTGTTGCAATGAAAACCTTATAAAGATTTTGAAGACAGAGTATAAGATGTGAAAGATCTGACTAAAATGTAAAGTAAAACATGATGTTTATATTTTAATGTAAAATATAAAATATTGACTGGAATCATAATGAAAGCTTATTTGTTTTTAATTAATAAAGTACCGTAATTAAAGAAAAATGACTAAATATTATTCACTGTTATCCTGACCTTGAAAAGTCCTCTATCAACAAACAAAAACCTTCATTCATTCAAATATGTTAGCAAATTCTAATTCATGTCATCATTTTCTGTTTGAAATATGAGTAGAAGAACTTCAGCTACTTTGTCACTGAAGCTTAATTCCTGTACCAAGACACTGTTCTTCCTTTGAGAAAGATGACTTGTGTGATTCATTGACAGAAACTGTTGGCACCATATTAAAGCCAGAAATATTTTAAATAAGAGCTTCCATAGGAAAGCAAATTACTGGTTGCCATGCCTCTAGTGATGGCCTATATACCAAATTCAGCAAGATGTCCCACCTGTCTGTTTAGAATGTCATATAAAGGTAATGAAATATTGTCCCTATATTTATTCAGAGTCATTTGTCAGAACACTAGAAAGTGTTATTCTCTGGAATATGATATGCAGTACTGTGGTTGTAACAGCAACATTAACTTTGTGTGCTATTCATAAGTTTTCTTTATGTGAAGGCCAGCATGGATGCAAGGAGGATTTAAAAAGTTTTTGTTTTGATTTTTTGCTTAAGTATGACTTGTCATATCATCCCATCCTAATAAACTGTGGTAGCCTGTTTTGTTTGAAATTCCAAGCTGGTTTGTTTCAACAAACCATCATTAACTTTAATTTCATTATTTAGTTTAAATGATTTGCTGAACTTTGGCTAATCAAAAATAGAAATTAATGCTTCTGAGGCCATCCCTGCTGCCTTGCTAGAAGTAAGTATGTCAGAGCACCATGATCTAGAAACCATTGTACAATCATCTTCACTTTTACTGCTGTTGCTACGCTACTGGATTGAAATGGCACAGGTTCAGAGCTGCCCAGGTCATCTCACCACAATGTTCTGCAGGAGAGCAGCATGTTGGGTGTATTGGGAGGAGAGAGAAAAGATACATAACATTTATTTCTTATCCTACCACTACCATGCAGCACTGCATACAACTTTTTTTTTGTACTCTTGTTGTAAGTTTGTATTTTTTCTTTTATACAAACGTGTGCAAATGCCAACAACAATAATAAATTTATTTTATAAATTTAAAAAACCAAAAAAACTTTAATGCTTTGGGGCAGCCAGAGTACTATTCTACACTTCTATCCTCTTGCAACATCCCAGTAGATGCATAACTGTCTCAAAATTATATAGTTCAGAAAACATGCTGCTGCTTCTACTTTCCATAATATCCCTACTTTAAGTGTATTATGTCTAGAGCAGATTACCAAATGCATCGAAGGAAGTAGGCTGAAGTCTAAGGGCCGATGCAGACCAGCATTTTAGGCTGGCCTGAGGGTGGAGTTGGGGCGGGAGGACCACATGCTGGCCGCCCTGACTCTGCCCCGACACCGCACACCCGTTCGCATGGGCAGCGGCGGCTCAAAGGATCACTTTTTGCCGTCCCCAAAAAGAGCGGCATTGATTATTTATTATATTGATTATTTCTAAATGTGCATA